ACTTGATCAGAATCATTGATTACCATGATTAATATTTTCATTTTACTAATATGCAAGGGCTCAAGCAAATAGTGAAAATCTTGACAGTTTTTAACTCCATTAAGGATTAGTGGATTTATTATGGTACAGTCCTTTTTGTAGAGGAATTTGTCATCCAACAGTTGTAAATATGGCTGGAGAGAAATGTCAGACAGCCACTTTTTACCAAGCAACTCCTCTCGAATCCGTTCTTGGCTATTCAAAACATTGCCATTGTTTATAGTGATTACAGAAGAATCCAAAGTTTGCATGGTTAAGCTACTTGTTAAATTGTCAAAACTAAAGGATGTATTTGTTGCTATAGATGTGTCAGAAGGTGCGAGGCTTAGATCAGTATTAGAAGTTTGACTGTCATCTGAACTTATATCTGTCGGAAGCTTTTTTGTAGAAAAATTAAAATGTTCTATTTTCAGTTCCAGTTTATTTTTGGTAATGTACTTAGTCAACTCTTTTTTGGATCGAAAAACTTTTCCTTTTGGCGACACCACATGAATATCTATTTTTCCTTTGGATAATCCTGCTTTTCTCACAACTTCTTTTCTTTGCCATCCTTTAGGAACGCTACTCCCATCCAAACAAATCATTTCATAAGTAGATTGTATGTCTTTCAATACAATTAAGAAATTGATATTTTATTTTAAGGGGAAAAATGCAAGTAATATTCTTGCATCTGATTGTTTTAACAATTTTATTTATTTAATAAATTTTTTTTGTTTGAGTAATATTTTTATAAAACAAATCAATTCAATGTGTAAACTTAAAAGTTCAATTTACAGTACACATAACAAGAAGTTGCTGAGATATTGTCAGTAAAGGTAAACAAACTTGCAAGTAATTAGACGGAACTGAACCTTGTCCTTGTCAGAGATAAGCAGTGCCGGCTGTGCCGTTCTCAATATCCTTGTGACCAGTCTTATCATGAGGGATTACCTCATCGGTCAGAATTTATCAATGTTCCAAATAGTTTAGTGTAATCACTCACCCTATTTATCACTTTTCTGTAAGAAGGTATGTAATAATATACTCTTAACACTTTTTTCTTGAGAAAAACACTGTGTAGAGATACAAAACAGACTTTATTAAGGAGCAAAATCACAGATTACTGATACTGTCAGCCATCTTGGATCAAAAAAAAGGCAAGATGTCCCAAATTTACAATCAGGTACTAGTGATGGTCGGATCTGGATATCGGACTACCGGATCCGAGCTAGAACCGGCACCGGAAAAAATTCCGGATCTTGGGCTGGATCCGGTTTTGATGGATCCGATTTTTTCCCGATTTTTTCAATGTCACAGTGCTGTATATTACGACGCCAATGACCTGTATGGCTGGGCAATGTCACAGTATTGTATATTACTATTATTATTAAAATTAAAATTAGTTATATTATTAAAATAAAAAAAAGTATTAAATTAAAAGTAAAAGTATTAAAGTATTAATTAAATTAAAATTAGTTATATTATTAAAATTAAAAAAAGTATTATTCACCAATCATTAATATATTTCTATTCAATGTTGTATTTATTTCACTATTCAGTATTTATGTATTTAATAATCACAACTGCAGAGGCTGATCTACTTGAGTTTTGATAACCGGGAAAAATACCGTAAATCAGTGTTGTATAAGACGGGGAAATTTACGTTTTAAAATCATTGTCACCAATAGCCTACAATCAAGGTTTCCACTCATTAACGGCGTTTTGATGGCTGTTGTATCAAGTAAATAATCACAACTGCAGTGGGTGATTGCGGGTGTTGCTGCTATTCCGGAAGACCTTTACGATTTTGTTGTGATTGTTACAGTGTTTTTTCTGTTAAACTCACTTTTCTAATGTCACTTTCGGTTTCGACTCACCACTATTTCGCTGCCATCATTAGACCATACCGCAAACAGGCCTATGGGCCATCTCCTATTGGTGCGTAGCCTTACCCAACAACACATAACTACATTTCAACCACGATTTTTGGTAACGGTACTTTTCCCAAGAACCAGTGTTAGCGAGAGTCACTTTTACAACACAACACACACAACTTTAAATCTTAGTTATCCCGTGTTGAATCTTTCTTACAGCCGTTTTAAATTTAATTGTTTTCCTTTTAGGTAGGATGTGTTTTGATTTTTCCCTTTGGTGTAGCTAAAATATTACAATCCAAACCAGCCTAGGGTATATACGAATAAGTTTCTGCTTTAATATATACGAATATTAAAGCAGAAACGGAATGGATCATTAACATAAACACATTATGTACTGGCCCGAAGGTAAACACTATTTTTGAATAGCTTACAAACAAGGTTTTCACTCATTGACAGCGCTTCGATGACTGTTGTGTGAAGTAAAAAATCACAACCGCAGTTTGATCGCAGATGTTGCTGCGATCTCAGATGATCATTACGATTTTGTTGTGATCGTAACAGAGGTTTACTCCAATGTGTCACTTTCAGTTTCAACTCACCGCTATTGCACTGCTATCACTGCACCGTACCACTGCCAATTGTCCGTAACCATATTTTGACGTTGGTTTTTGCCGTTTTTGGTACAGTTACTTTTCCTTGGAACCGGTGTTAGCGAGAACCATTTTTAGGTAGTAACACATCACTATTTACAACTTAGTTATTGTTGTTGCTTCTTATTTCTTACAGTCATATTAAATTTAATTGATGTCTTACTGTATTGTGTTTTCTGTCTGGATTCCAAAATGTTATTCCTTGCTATGCAAATTTTAACACATTTGAGTAAAACATTTTTGAGCAAACCATCATCAATTATTTACGCTTTATGTTGATTACATAGCCTATCGATAGTTCCTAGCCTGTTTATTGTAAAATAGGTACCAAATTGTTTTTAGTACTTCATTTTATATAGTATGCAGTCATTTTTACATTATTTCAAGTCATTTTGGTATTATGGAATCATAAATTGTTATTTCAGACGGCATTATCACTGCACGATAAGTAATACGATATGATAACATTTGATGACACTAACTAAGGTTGCAAATGCTTATTTTACATGTACTTTAATTTGGTTACAGCATAGAAAATGACCTGTGTATGTCTGATGTTAATGCATGAGATTGCTTATTTCTCAGTGTACCGCGGAAAAGACAAGAGCACTTTTGTTAATGAAAATTTCAACCAGAATAAATTGTGCATTTGTGAGGTAGTATTTTAACTACTTTATCCAGTGTGGGAAGTCGTTTTCAATTTCACTTTAGGGCTATGCATCATAGATCTATACCAGGGCCGTCGCGTGGGTGGGGAGACCAGGGCGACCGCCCTGGGCGCCGCGGTCAAGGGGGCACCGCGGCAAAAGTAATGCAACAAAATTTAAAAAAGTTAGATGCACATAACGTATTTTGGAAAGTTATGTATAACCAAGAATACTAGTTCTGTTATTCGTGTGTGTAACTGAATGTTGAATATTACGTTGTATGCCTGTATTGAACAAATACATATTATTTGATACCAATCACTTTATTATAATTTGCAATGTTTTCCAAATTAAATATCAATATAGTATTGAATTAAATTTAGTAATAATAGCCTAATTAATCAACTCCACTGTGATGGAAGGCTCTGTCCCAACTTAATTATCTTAATATATTGCAATGTCTTAATTATCTTAATACTGCAATGTCGCGGTTCGCGGTGTTGCTCTGTACACGTAGGTGCCGTACTCTATTTTTATTTCGCCCGACCGGCCGACGGTCGACCTTGGGAACCACCCCTACCCCAATCACTCCTTTCTCCCTCTCCTACGGTTGTGTCCCGTTTGCGAACAGTCCCATTTGCGAACAGGGTAAAATCTGTCCGTTTTGCGAACAACTTTAAGATGTCATAAGTCACCTGTCCGTTTTGCGAACACATATTTGAAACGACCCTTGAAACCTAAGATATTACCTGGAACACGTAGCGATAGCCCTAGTAGCTTTTGAAGTTTGGTAGTTTTTCAACCGCTTTTGTGTTTGATCATTTACTCTATTGGTTTAAACGAAGAATTGTTAGCCAATTTGTCAACAAGATGTATTTAAATTAAACTAAAATATATAACAAATAACATGTTTTACATAATTTGGTTATGTGTAATCAGTTCAAACTCAATGGGATTTAGTGTGTAAAGTGCAAGATCAGGTCAGGTACCTACTCCCGAGAAACCTACTCTTTACACCACATAATAGGGGCAGCCCAGGCCGAGTCAGGGGCAGCTTAGGCCGAAAGTCCGTTTCCCCATAATTATTTGCAAATCTACAGGGAGTAAGCTGTCCAACGACCCATTAATTTATAAAATCGATCCAGTAGAACTGTAGATTTAGTTGTACAAAGATTTTAAAAACTTCTGAATCATTATAAGAGATAGATTTTTGTAATCCTTGGTTTTTTGTAAAAGATACCACGGTTGAGGTCATAGCGGGGGACCTGTTCCCTTGTCAGTATGGCTTCTGAGGAAGTGAAGCAAGAGCTGATTTTAACCACTACTCTCGTAGGGTTGTGCTGCTCGTAACACTCAATGTGCAAGACTCATTTAATTATGCGAGGTGGTCCGATATGCTGGATACTCTGGAGAACACCAGGATACCTTAATGATGTGCCCTACCGAGTCAGTATAAAAGTTGGGCAAAATTTACCAAAACACTTTATAGCGAAGGTGAGGATGAAATAGCTCCTACTGAGCGTCTGCAGGATTTCCTGAGCGCTTCTAGAGCTCTGAGCCATCCACTAAATTTAAATAAATTGATCAGTCAAAGCCGTGACAACTTCATATCAACCCCTGGATTTTTCTCGGCTCCTTCTGAGCACTCCGGGGAAGAAATTTGAGTGTGGCTGGTTCTAGGGGTAGGCCTAGCCTGACTTTGGTGAATACCTACTAGTTTATTCCCCCCCCCCTTGAATTTTCCGTCACAAGTTTTATAAACCCGGGTTAAAATCTAGGCTTAAAAAAAAAAAAAAAAATTCACTGACCTTCTTCTGGAGGTTGTCTATTTCTATCAATTTTTCGAATATCATCTAGTGTGATCCCATCTTTTGAGAACAAACCTCCATGCATAACCTGGAATCAATTAACACAAGGCATATTTACTACTAGCTACAAATTTGTACAAACATACAAAATATTATTTATTTAACAAGGGGTTGGGGATACACTTACATTGAGACTTATGTTTTACAGGGGTCTGGGAGCCATACGGATAACTTTGGGTCAGGTTGGGTAAAAAATGTTAATCTCCGGTTCACAAAAAAATCAGGTTGGATCAAAATCCAGTATCTTTAACGGGTATTGAAAATATCAATTGATATAATGTACAGTAGAACCCCGATTAACCAAAATAAAGGGGGGAGAGCCGTTTCGGATAACCAATTTTTCGGTTAACCCATCATATGCTGAATATAGCCAATTTATTACCACAGTGTGTAGGAAAAATGAATTTAAGACAATGTCTATACAGGGTTGTATATAAAGTCCCGCACGGGCTTAACACTAAAAGTTTGGCTTGGCTTGAAAACAAGCTGCTTGCAAATGTATAATATAGATGACCTGACCCAAGTTTGGCCTGCACCAATCCCTCAGGTACACTGTTGGTCACCCATTAAAGATTTTAATGACCTTGAGACTGCTGGACAGGGGCAACATATACATTTAAAGTTCTAACCAAGCCTTGGTCTTGCTAGATAGATATTAAGACAATTTAACTTACCAGCACTCTTTTGTTCAAACAGTGAGCAAGTGGTAACCAGTTGTAAACTTCTGTGAAGAGTTCTGCCATTTGGGCTGTATATTTTGCCTTAACTTCTCCTTCAAAACCATACATTTGGTTCATAGTCTGGCTTTCATGGTTTCCTACAAACAGATTCTGTTCAAATAAAGTAACGTAATAATAATATAAAATCAATAATATATATATATTTTATTATATATAAATAAAATAACAGTTTTGTCTGTACATTGCGTAGAATCATGCAGTTTATGGTTACTTTTACGTTTCAGAGCCTAAGAAAGCAGAAATGAGTCTTATCTCAATTTCTGTCTGTCTGTCTGTCTCTCTGTCATTCTGTCTGTAACGCCAAAATGTCAATTTACCGGCCTACTCCGAGAAAACTAGAATACCGATCAAGGTTCAAATAATTTTTCTGTATTCACTGGATTGGTCGGTGTCTTTGAATATTAAAATATGGCCTTGCTACTTTGGAAATAACAAACCATCAAAAACACAATTTTATGCGATGTCTATCACATTTTCTCCCAATGTTTACTACATACATCATTTATGAAATAACGAAAAGCTGTTTGGATTAAGATTCTCACTTCTAGCTGTCGATGATATGTTTACATTGAATGTTGTTTACAAATACTGCAACATTTCCAATAACATTTTGTAAGCAAATCGAAAACCATTCATTGAATCAAGTAAGATACCTCAAAAACAACTTTTTGACTTGCATAACGGATTTATTATTTTTTTTATGGGATTTAATTGATTGGAAGTACAACAATGTGTAATTATGTATAAATTAAAATAATCATCATCCAGGTCAGGAACCTGGAGATTCTGTGTCTATCAAATTCTAATCGAGTTTTGATAACCGGGAAAAATACCATAAATCAGTGTTATATAGGACTGGGAAACTTACATTTTTAAATCATCGTCATCAACAGCCTACAATTGAGGATTCCACTCGTTAACGGTGTTTTGATAGCTGTTGGTATGAAGTAAATAATCACAACTGCAGAGGCTGATCTACTTGAGTTTTGATAACCGGGAAAAATACCGTAAATCAGTGTTGTATAAGACGGGGAAATTTACATTTTAAAATCATTGTCACCAATAGCCTACAATCAAGGTTTCCACTCATTAACGGCGTTTTGATGGCTGTTGTATCAAGTAAATAATCACAACTGCAGTGGGTGATTTCGGGTGTTGCTGCTATTCCGGAAGACCTTTACAATTTTGTTGTGATTGTTACAGTGTTTTTTCTGTTAAACTCACTTTTCTAATGTCACTTTCGGTTTCGACTCACCACTATTTCGCTGCCATCATTAGACCATACCGCAAACAGGCCTATGGGCCAACTCCTATTGGTGCGTAGCCTTACCCAACAACACATAACTACATTTCAACCACGATTTTTGGTAACGGTACTTTTCCCAAGAACCAGTGTTAGCGAGAGTCACTTTTACAACACAACACATACTACTTTAAATCTTAGTTATCCCGTGTTGAATCTTTCTTACAGCAGTTTTAAATTTAATTGTTTTCCTTTTAGGTAGGATGTGTTTTGAATTTTCCCTTTGGTGTAGCTAAAATACTACAATCCAAACCAGCCTAGGGTATATACGAATAAGTTTCTGCTTTAATATATACGAATATTAAAGCAGAAACGGAATGGATCATAAACATAAACACATTATGTACTGGCCCGAAGGTAAACACTATTTTTTAATAGCTTACAAACAAGGTTTTCACTCATTGACATCGCTTCGATGACTGTTGTGTGAAGTAAAAAATCACAACCGCAGTTTGATCGCAGATGTTGCTGCGATCTCAGAAGATCATTACGATTTTGTTGTGATCGTAACAGAGGTTTACTCCAATGTGTCACTTTCAGTTTCAACTCACCGCTATTGCACTGCTATCACTGCACCGTACCACTGCCAATTGTCCGTAACCATATTTTGACGTTGGTTTTTGCCGTTTTTGGTACAGTTACTTTTCCTTGGAACCGGTGTTAGCGAGAACCATTTTTAGGTAGTAACACATCACTATTTACAACTTAGTTATCGTTGTTGCTTCTTATTTCTTACAGTCATATAAAACATAATTGATGTCTTACTGTATTGTGTTTTCATAAAATAATCTTTAGTATAGTACTTAGAAACCTACCTCATACTTAAACAATACCATAGTATAACTTTATTTACAAGCAGCTAAATTAATATAATGATTTGTGAAAATGTTAACACAATACAGGGTTATTACAAATGATGTTCCTGATTTTGATTATAAATATTACTGGGTTAATTTGTTTCAAAACTATTTTAATTGGTACCATTGGAAAGAAAAACTCATAAAGTTTCATTTACATTGGTTTGGGTGCATATTAGCTGTTTGTCAAGTCAATTGTTGTAAGTGTTGTGTAAAGGCTGAATTTGAAGGCAGGAAAGCTTTTTGCCAGTTGGAATATTACTAACCAATCTGTTATTAGTGTGCAACGACACTTAAGAACCAGGTTTAACGATTATCCTCCTAGTAACCACTATATTGGCAAGTGTCACTTGAAATTTAAGAGAAATGGCTGCATTTGAATGTTACCTGTAGTAGGGTTGAACTTAACAATGTGCTGCCTGAGATATGGAACGAGCTCGGTGGTCCGAATAATGTCACACCCCTGAACTGGCCTACAAGATCTCCGGACATCACCCCCTGATTTTTTTCTTGTGGGGATACATCAAAGATAAGGCGTACACATCACCATTATCAAGCATACTTGAGATCCAGCAACGAATTACCAAAGCTATCGAAACAATAGACCTAGACACACTTTTCAAAGTCTAGCAAGAGCTTGACTACATTATTGACATCTGTCGTACCACAAGGGGTTTCCGTATCGAGCATTTACAGTTCTGTGTATCTGTGTCAAAACTTTTTGAGTTTTTCAAAAGTTGTAACCATTTTATTTCTTTCTATAACAAATAAAACTATATTTCATGTATGTATGAAATCATGAACATCATTTGTAATAACCCTGTATATATCAAATATGTTGTTGTTTAGTCAAATATATATGGCACATGAATTCACTGTCAGAAAATAGAGTAAACTTACAAAAAATAATTTAATTTGTAATTTATAGTTTAAAAATACGAGCCATTTGTTTTTGCTAAGTTGTCAATGATTGCTTTTTCATTTTCGTAGTTATTGAAATTTGGAACATTCTTTGATTGTGAATTAAAACTTGTCATTTTGTATTGTCATAGGGCGTTGGAATTTATTGGCATAACGAGGTCTGTTTGGGTTTCTTTTGTATAAATTTTGAATAAATGTTTTGAACTACTGTATTTGTTGTAATTTTCAAATCTAAAAAGTCGATTTTGTATTTCTATTGTAAATTTGATTGGTTAGATAATAGATATTGTGTTTAAGTAATTTAAGACCTGATTAAATGTAGTTTCCTTCCCGTTGAAAAGACAAATTACGGCATCTATACCAATATAGTAATTAAATATAGCATATAGTAACTTATATGCTAGTTGTATACTAAATCTGTAAATATAATATTATGATCACAAACTTGATTGGGATGACACGAACTTGAAGTTGTTGACACGAACTTGAGCTTCTAAAATATGTAGGATTGTGTATCCCTTTCTTTTTAACATTAGTTGGTCAGTACTGTTACTGTAAGTAAAATCCCATTTCCCCTATGCCATTACCTATATTCAATTTATTTTCAACTTCCTATTATTATTTAAAAAAAAATCCGGAAACAAGATGATCAATTCCACCTAATGCAGTCTTGGCAATACAAATTCAAATCACAACTGAATGTTTTAGTACTGATGAACACTAGCCTACACAGGCTAGACTGTAGGGAATTACGTTTTTTTAGCGCTACATAACTACTTTCTGATATTTAGTTAGTTATTTACTTGGTTACCTATATTAATACTGAAAACTGTACTCCTGGCGAGTATATTTTTTCCATGGTATATATATTTCTCTTTTCTAAAAGGTAAGTTAAACAATGTGTAGGCCTATATACATACATATTGTTCCAGGGTACCAGAAGGGCTACAGAAAACATACATTGTTAGTATGTAATACCTTTGACATCCAATAGTCAATGGTAATACATACAGCCAAATTGCATAACAGGGGTTCTCCTTTATAAAAATATCTAATACAGACTACAAAAATATATCTTTTGAGGTTACAGTATTTATTCCAACGATTTTCAAAAATGTAATATTTCAACTACAACTACCTATAAATCTTGTCTTGTTAATAAACACAAACGTGCATTTTAGTGAATAATTGGAAGACGCTAATCGGTGGTGAGAGTTTCGTAATATAAAAAGGTTTTGCATAACGTAGCACTTTTAAATTTAAATAGCCTATTTAATTTTTATCCTATACGATTAGAATATACATTTATGATAAGACTAGCAGAGTACCCGTCCTTCGTCCGGTGTTGACGTATGTTTAAATGTTGCTTTTTGAAATCTGAAATGAAAAACAGTGTAAAATAAGATTCAATTCCAATAAATGTACCTATCAAAAACTTTTAACTTACTAATTACATAAAAAAACATTTTCAAACAATAAAACAAATAAAAAACTCAAAGCTTTTACCTACTTTTAAATGATAAAATAAAACATAGACAAACAATAATTTACAACATCTAGTTAATATTATGGTTTGAATGAAAAGAAACATGTGATCTTGCTTCTAAAAAGCATTGCTCACTTAGCATTGATTATAAAAATATCTCATTATATACTATGTGAACAAACAAAAACATTAACGCTCTTACTACTAAAACAAACAGAAGTATTCTTAGCCCTACTAATTATAGCTCCTACTATTCATGCACCAAAGGCAAGTGCATAATAAAATGACTCTTATTAATTACAAAATAATTAATAAATGCACGCATATTAACAACACAAAATCTAATTCATGAATGTTTACAAAACAAAAAACAATAGAAAAACATATGATAGTAAAAGTAGGTATAAATGAATTATTAACAGTCTTAGAGAAGACATAACAGTCTCCCCCACTATTTTGAACTTGCAGTGTATTATTATGAAAGCACAAAGTCCTTGTATCGGCCCGGCA